GCCATAACTTCTTCTAGAAAAATGATATGAACAATCCGCGAGTTGGTCCAGAAAATAGACATCTGTAGCTTTCCAAGCATATAAGGCACGTGCTCTAATTCATTCTGAGCTGTTCGCAACTTGCTTCCAAAATCAGCTGATCTGCACAGGCAGTTTTGACGAATTTGTTACTTAAAAATCCCACTTATGCTATTTTTCTTTTCTTGCTTGACAGATCCTACAAAACACAAAAATAAAGTACATAGCTCAAAGATATAAGGAACTAACTAAGAAAAGGCAAGTGAATTTGATGTAAAATATATATAAATATGAGCTTGTCAGAGATAAAAGGAACAAAACAACACCAACAAGAACACCAAGATTTATACTAGTTCGGTAATGCCTACATCTAGTTTGGAGACGATGGAGTAATCCACTATAATCAAATGAGAGAATACAATAATGCTTAACACTCAGAAACCCAAACCCCAAATATACCCAAGCTCATGCACTCACAATAGGAAGAGAAAACCAAAAATACAAAGCAAAGAACAATTTGAGAGAATTTTCTTCTCTTTGGCCGAATGGCTTCTTGCTATTTCTCTCCCTCTTCTCTATCTTATTTTTGCTGGGCTGCTTCTCCTTTTAAAGCCAAAGGATGAGTGGCTTTTCAAAGAAGCCAACGGGTAAGGGCCTGCTTAATCAAGTCAGAAGGCTAGCCATGAATGCATGCCTTTTGTCTCGCACGTGCTGCTATCCCATCTCTGCCAATTAATGTTGTCATCCCATCTCTGCCAATTAATGAAGCCCAACACTCAATATATAGGCGAAGCCTAGAGTTGCTCATAATTAATGCATTCTCATTTGCAAAGCCAATCAGCCGAAAGTGTTTTCCACTTTTGACTATTGTTTGAGCCAATAATAAACAATCTCCACCTTGGCTTAAACCCTCGAAGTAGAACCCCCAATAGTCATCTCCCAATCCCCCACGAGGCAATCAACAAATTTTACAAATGTCAATCAAGTCTAAGTAGTGTTTAAACTTGAGCAACGAAACTGGTTTTGTCAACATATCCGCAAGATTGTCGGCGGTCCCAATCTTCTGAAGAAGAATATCTCCCTCGTCAATAATCTCACAAACAAACTGGAACCTCACATCAATGTGTTTTGTACGTGCATGATGAACTTGATTCTTTGCTAAATAGATAGCACTCTGACTGTCGCAATGAACATCCACATGGTCATGTTGAACCCCTAAGTCATCAAGCAACCCTTGAAGCCAAATGGCTTCCTTAATAGCTTTTGTTACCACCATGTATTCCGCCTCAGTAGTCGACAAGGCAACTGTAGATTGCAAAGTCGATCTCCAACTCACTGGAGCTCCAACAAGAGTGAATACAAAACCTGTAGTGGACCTATGCTTGTCCAAATCACCTGCGTAATTAGAATCCACATATCCAACAACACATTGACCAGTAACTTTATCCTACTAAAATAATACACCAACATCCACAGTACCCAGAATATACCGTAGAATCCATTTCACAGCTTGCCAATGCCCTTTTCTAGGATTATGCATATATCTACTGACAATACTAACATCTTGTGAAATATCAGGCCTAATA